AAACCCTGCCCCAATAATGGCACAAATGTTGATGTTTATGGAAATTATGTTGAAAAATATTAAGATGACTTCATGTGTCTGTCACATTTTTCCTTACTCCTCAGGGCAGAAACATAAGAATAATTCATTGTATTTTCCTCCTGATCAAATCACATTCCATGAGAAAGACTTATGGGATGGGTTATCATGAATGTGCAGGGAATGGGATAAGGTGGATTCAAAATGACATTGATGATGCTCAGGAGCAGACAGAAAATCATATCACCAGCCAATTTAAGAAGAAATTCCAAGCATCCACAATAAGAAGCAAGAAGGTACAAGTCCTGAAAATCCTTTTGAAAAGCTGAAGTATTAAAAAATACAAGTTGAGTTCAAGGCATGTCATGGTGCATAAGGCAAAAGAAACTGGTACTAAAGAAGGGGATAACATCCATGTCAAGTCCAAAAACAGGAAACATGCCCAGTGGAAAGAGTTGATCTAATCAGGAACTTCAACAAATGTGAAAAAGTGAATTGGGTTATGCTTGGCAAAAAGTGTTTCTGGGAAATGGGCTAATAAATGAATTCATGGTCAGAAATGGCAAGTGTTGACCTCTTTTAAATGGAGGTAAATCAGCTCTTCAAAGAAAGGTTCTCCACTTGAAATTATGCACTTCTCCAAATTCAGAACTCCATCCAAAGCATTGCATCTTAGCTGAAGCATGTGTGATTTGTGTGGCGAGTGTCAGCACAATTCATTATTAGGTGAAGCCAATGAGAAAAATTATTGACCTGACTGCTGATTATGACATCCTATCGAAAACATAATCACTATCTGGCAAGGATTATCTGCAATTCTCAAGGTCATTCCATGACATATTACCCCAAGAAATGGGAAAATCAACACCTTACCATCTCTGATTTTGATTAAATGATATGCAAAATTCTGTCCCAAAACCCAGAATTGTCACATTTCAGCCACATTGGGTCAATAGGTCAAATGGTACAGTGGTGTCAACATGTAGGGTCATCTGCTAACCTTCAATAGATACCCTTTTAACTCAAGAACTATTTATGATAGGGCCAGATAAGACAATTAAGTCGCCATGCTCTTCAAGAAATGCTTCGTTTATAGTGATCAGATTGCTTTCTCCCATTAATAATCCAAAACATTCAACATAATTGCAACCACTGAGCTATGACAGCAATATCAATGAAAATTCAATCATTGTAGTGATTTGAAGCTATAGCAGTCCTGATGAAGTTGTTCTGACTTTTTGGCATTTCTACTGTAATATTTTTGCAATGTACACTTGAATCTGAAACATCAGACACCTAACAAATTCAAGTAGTAGAAGCCTTAGACAGAGATGAATCAAACCATAAGGATGTGTAGATGAAATGTAACCACTCAAGTGGAAGGAAATATGTTCCTATGAATCATCCCATGGAGGGTTTCTCCCCAAGATAGCAGCAGAATACAACATTTTAAAATTTTATTTTGGAAGTCAATTTCATCTGTTTGAGTTTGACTGCTTCAGTAAGTCTGATGACTGCAATATTCTTTTTTTTTTTTTAAAGCTAAACATCTGTTAAGAAGTGACTGCTCATTGTGAAGGCAGATATTTACAAATAAAAAAATGAGGGAAATCTCTCAAGGCAGGAAGTTCTGTTGGTCTGGGCAACACATTTTACACCAAATTGCTTGATATACATGCAGTAATGATATTAAAATTTACTGACTCTGTAACTATAATTTTCCATGCTAGCAACTCACCCATTTCAATTGTGAATTAAAAAAAAATGCTACTCAAGGAGAGAAATTTAACATTCTTAGGTGATGAAATGCAGATAGATCTTGCCTATAAAATACAAGCAATCATTCCATTGCTATAGGGAGTTAAATAGTCATGCCACCCATGGAGCTATGTTCTTCTGTCACAGGTACTGAAGAGTAAATGTGCAAACTAAGGAAGAAAAATGGATGACAAGTACTCAATATAGAAAACTCTAGGTAAAGCTTTCCACAAGGACCAGAAGTTACAGAGATATCCAGCGTGAGTTTGAAGATCAATAAGGGAGCTAAAAACGACTGATACTTATACCCTGAGTTTCAACAGATATGACTTCATTGGAGGGAGTAGCAGGTGTTCTCCTTAGCCAATAAAACATAATAGAGCAAAGGCCATAGGGATCTACTGACTTAAATGTTTCACAGAATACAGATAGCATTTTTCAATTTTGCATATCAGAAGCTGAGACCCTTTCATGGAATTATTTTGCAGCTCTTATTTTTGGGGCTTTCTCAGTTCCAAGTTCAAATTTTCATTTGATAAATTAATGCTTTTCAAGTGATGTCATGCCAATTTTAAATTCTTCACATAATTTCAAGTGAATTGATGCCTTAATCAATGTTCTATCATAAATAGTTCTTGAGTTACAGGGCTATCAAAATTTGAGATTAGCAGGTGACCCTAAATTCTGACACCCATGCAACCTTTGACCTACAGACCCAATGATTCTGAAATCTGATGTTTCTACATTTGGGAGCAAGAGAATCCTGTATATCATATTACATCAAATTTGGAGATGGTAGGGTGTTACTCATTGACTGATCTGTCATGGAGTTACCCTTCAACCAGTGTGCTACTTTAATGAGTGCCATTCACGTCCTGGCACATTAGACTTGGAAAAACACCTGAGAATGCTGATGGATGACAACACTATTGATAATCTACAGACAGTGGATCTCTGTTGATAGATTCAACCTTGAAACAGCAAGTCCCCTGAAGATTTTTTTGACTGTGAAAAGCTGGAGGTTCTACTTTTGTCATTCACTCACTGCAAGACAATAAATAATATTTTCAAACAGAATCAGAATAAAAAATCAAGCTTGCAATGAGGGGAATTCTAGATTAACAACTTCACAGAGAATCATTCCTTTATTCTACAGGACAAAACACAAGGTTTTTCTGGAACAATCCATTCCTCCACAAGATGTTCCACTACTGACTCAAATTCATCTTCTGTGACACCAAATGAAGCACTAAGTCCTTTATGCCTGTAGAAGCAGAACATTGAATCAATCTTTCAAAATCCACTTTCTCTGACAGTCAAATAGCTCATGCTTTCTCCCATCAGGTTAAAAGCACAAATCAAGGTAGAGGTGACTGTTGGCTGGAAATAAGACCAGTGGCGGATACAGGGGGGGGCGGGGGGGGCGACCGCCCCCCCTATGGCCAGGTTAGGATTTGATTTATTTATTCAAAATAGCATCTGCATTAAATGTTATTGGAGCCAGTGAAATAGGGGGGGGGGGGGGGGGGGGGGGGGGGGGGGGGGGGGGGGGCGACCGCCCCCCCTATGGCCAGGTTAGGATTTGATTTATTTATTCAAAATAGCATCTGCATTAAATTTTATTGGAGCTAGTGAAATAGATACTCAAGTTCTTACACCAGATGAAAAATAAAAAAGGCGAAAGGACGATGAATGGTGATAGGCCGGGGGGGGGGGGGTTAGGTAGGAATTTTGGAACCGCCCCCCCCTATGAAAAATTTCTGTATCCGCCCCTGGATGGTGGTCCAAAGCATCGGGTGTCAGAAGACTCGACAGGTCATGGGGTTTCTATCTTTCGATAAGGCGCGTCGCCGTGGCGACATGCGAGGAGGGACTTGGCGTCTCGATCGTCGCCTCGGTTCTCTCTGTGTCGCATTTAAAGTGTTTGTGACTTCCATCTGCATCTCTGTCGAGCGAATCGGCTCTTCCAATCTCCTGCAACATGAGGCAATATCGCTCTCATCGAAAATGTGGCATTTCAATATTCTTGTCTGTGGCAATGACGTTGCAATTCCATCGCAATACCGCTTCACGCCGCGAAGAGGCGCACGTGATCACATCACGAACGGTGCTTGTGCGATGCCGACGTGATTTGCTTTGATCTCATGAGCGCTGTGATACTTTTCGACATGACGTGGCCGTTTTGGATCTTCCTTCTCGTCCAGGTCGGTGATCGACTTTTCGCGACCGGTTGCTCGTTTCGCGTTCCGAAATGTGAAATTCCCTCGCCAGATCCCTTTTTTCGCGGAGCCACGGCCGCTGGGGGACACGGACGTCTGCCGGCGGGTCTTCAATCGCGGGGCCCGGGTTCCTTCGCCGACGTCGGCCGACGACTGTGGGCCTTGCCTCGAGGGGTCGGTGTCCATCCGTTGCGATCGATCGTTCGGTGTCGCATTGCGTCGAAGCGATGTGTGACATCCTGTTTTTTTTTGTCTCTGCAATCTCAAGGTATATACAGTACTGTTATTTATAAGAATACATACCGTAACCGCAGCAAACGGCCTTATTTTACATGAATCTGACAGACTCACCTTGCCCGGAATAGGTTGTAAAAAAGCTTGCCCAGATGAGGGTTAACCCTGACATGACCTGACTTTTGAGACTGGGTAGGGTACCAGAATGGAAATGGTTAAGATGACACTCTATGGTCAGGATTTCCAACAATTGCCACTACACTCTATCTTCTGTGACATGTGCCCAGCAGCATCTGCAGAACTGTTTAATCCTTAAAGATGTTTGCCAATAAATACAAGCAAATACACAATGATTGACATGCTACCCTCCCTCCAAAAAAAATTTGTCTTTAGAAGGGTAAGATTGTCTTAAATGAGTGCTGGATTGTGATATGGGATGTCAATATGGACAGAAATGCCTCTTAATACCTTCATTCAAACCTTGATGCTCTACTATGAGGCACAAGGGAGAGGTAAACCACCTTTATGAGAGTTAAAACACCTCAATTGCCTCTCCATTGAAAAAATTAGATGCTCAAATTGACAAGCAATTCTTTTGTCATCTCTATTCCGTCAGAACAGCAGTGCTTGCATTGCTAGCTGTTGCTCTCTTATGAATGGCACAATCATATATTCTTTATTTCCAGAAATGCTGAACAAGACAATAATATGAAAAGAAATATCAAAGTTATATTTTGCTAAGTTCTTTTCTTGTCATTACAAGAAAAGTATAGGGAGTGGATGAGCCCTAACTGGAAATCATTTCTAAATCAGAGAAGGATAACAATGCTAGGGCATCATGAATCAACTTTTACAGTCCCTTTATAGATTAAGCCAAAAGTAATGAACGTCTATGCATCACCAACCAGCACTACCCCTTCCTGCAAACCCACAATTTGTCTATGTCTTCCTGTGTTTATGTATTTCCATGTCTTCTCAATTCCATTTGATATACTACTGTGCTGAAATGATTCCTTTCTTCATTATTTGGTCTGGGGTAGCTCCTGTCTTTGGTATTTTGTGTCAGTATAACTCCATGGATGTCACTGTCAAATCACTTCAGTTTTGAGATCAACATGGAACCATTTCTGTCATAATTCCTGTATGCCTTAGATTCATGGTGATTCCATGTGAATATTATTCAAGTTGATTTAGTTTCTGACTAAATTATTCTAGATTATGTTAATTATTTATTGTGCATGATTTTGACACTCTGTTGCTGTCTATTGTATTGTGTCACTGCTTGCACAATTCTTGCTGGTATAAAATTCATGTATATCAAAAGAGATTGGATAAGAGCAACTCCAGGATAATACAGACCTATCTTCACCTTTCACCCTTCCCCCTTCTCTTTCTATCTCTTGTGATAAAATCTAATCAAAATACATCAATGAAGGGAAAGAAGAAAAAATAGAAGTCACAATTTCCCTTCCCTGCCAATGTTAAGATTAACATATGTGATACTGTAGGTGGGTGATACAATTTTACCAGAAAAGGCACTGTTTAGCCTTAACCTTTTCAGACCCAGGGTCTGTGGAGGAAAGCAGTTGACAAATACACCTGTAGGTTGGGTCTATAGAGGTTGATGCAGAAGACCTCATTTTACCTACAAGGCAATAACAAAAATGTATTACCACTTAGAGAAAACTTTCGTCTTCATTACACCATCCTTCGCAATTTTCATAATTCTCAATTGTTGCATCATCATCCTCCTCATTTCATGTAGAAACCAGAACAAATCCAGCAATTATCCCATTGCAAAACAATGAAGAGAGATTGAATCATGAGAGCACATCATCCTCCAGGAAACTCTCTTGGTATTCTCTTCTGGTGTGCAGCTTGTGATTCTGCAAGCAGGGAATGAATTGCACTGACCGACTGATAAGGTGGTAGAACTCAACGATACTTCCCAAACCATAAAAGGTCATAGGGAGAGATCCATGAATGACAGCCAAGCATGTTGTTACGTATGATATACTCAAATGTGTAGGGATTCTGGTTATTTTGCTCCTCCCACTTATTGACTCTTGCTTCCTTCTCCAACATGTCATGGGACACCACTCGAGCTGGGAATGGTAACTTCCCAGCTATTTCTCTCAAGAAACTTTCCACCTGAGGGATAAGAATGGGGAACTATTAGCATTATTTTAAGGAACAGTGAACAAAGCATAAAGGGAGGAAAGAAAAATATAAAGAAACCTCAGGAAATTCCATCTTCCCTGCCAGTTCAAAAATGATGCGTCCAGCTTTAACCGGAGTGGTGTAGTGATGAATGTTTCCCTTTCCACCACCCATCCTCTTCCCTTGACCCTGGCATTAAGTATAACTCAATAAAACCAATGAATAGCATTTCACCAATACCAAAGCAAAAGCAAACAAAAAAAGAAACAAAAAACCACCTTTTTGGTAATGGGTTTCCAAGGGGGGTCTACCCGCCAGATTGCAAACATTCTGGAAATATCCATGTTTCGAAGTGTAGTCATTCGTACCATTTCAAAGTGGCCATGCTGCATCTGTCCCCCTCGAGTAGCCTAAGGAAGTGAAAGCAGCTTTGACCAAATCAAAAATTAACAATTCTGCATATCATACTAAAGGTCCAAAAAAGCACATGCCAACCATCTTAACTTAATTCAACCAACTCTATAAATGCTCCACATGCCCACCATCCTCTCCAATGCAAAGCTGGAAGCATCACTTGATGCTTAGCCAAACATTGAAGTTTGTACCACTAGTGCCAACCTTACACATGACATTTTTTCTTTAGGATTATTTAAAGACAATTGTGTACGAGAGTAAGCCTGTTAATCTAGACAAACTCAGGGACTTCCATTTGCAAAGGCATTCAAGAAATTTTGATTCAATTGTGAATGTGGGGCAAAACTTCTAGAGATGCCTCCAGCTTGCATTGGAGAATATGATTGGCATGTGGAGCACCTATAGAAACTTTAAATATGGTATACAAAAGCTTACATCTTTCATTGATAGAATACTGTTTGTATAAATTAATAGTCACACTTAGGGAATTATATGCAGTCAAAATCCCCTAGCAACTTAAGAGGCAAATACTTTTACTTGAAAGCCTTCAGATATACAGTAGTGACAAAATTATTGCATTATTTGGAACTTCACATTTCTTTGAGTTAGCTAATAATAATAGCTTCTTGGTAATGCATGAAATTTTGCATATGATCATGTCATTACTTCAGTCATAAACTGTGCATATTATGCTTGTCATGAAGACCATACAAGAAACAAATTATTATGTGGATATGAATACATATTAGACTTCCATGCGATGTTCCTGTAGTAAATAATAGATAGAAATCATTTTAGCACTTTGTTTTTTAAATTTGTAAAAAGTGATTTTTCAGGGGTTTGTGCTTCAGTATACAATTATCCCACCAGATTACAATGTAAAATATTTAATTACCACATTAGCATGAAAATGACCTGCATTCCAACTCCTGATCCTTTGTCTGCATGGGTATTCAGAAGATGAATCCAAATCCTTTAAGACTATAACAATGCACTGGTAGCCATCAGAAGATTTTCAAGCTGCTGCTACCAATACCACTATGTGAAAGAGACTGATAGAAACATGTGCATGTGTGAATGTGACCTCATACCAACTTGGGCTAATATTTTGATATTGACTCACCTGAACACCAAACTGCTTGTGGAGAAGGAATGTGTGAACAGGTTCAGGTCCTCTCATGTAGTCTAACCTCTTTGGCATCTTAGGAGGTTTCACACCAGCAGGGAAAACTGGAACCTTTTGGTAGAATTGGAGCCTACGTTTCTTCTCATCCTCAGGAAGAACCACATCTGCCACACAATCAAGACCTTCCTCAATGGCAGTTCTTCAGATGCATTCTGGGTTTTGTCCAGCTAATAGGAGCTACAGTAAGCTTAAATGCAGTCTTTCTATCTAAAATTTAAAAATTGGACAATTATTGGCTGAAATTAATATGTTACTGAAAGATCCAGTTGAAAATCCATGCTTTGCAAGGCTGTCAGCACCAGCAAGAGATGAAGAAATCACAACTTTTCATGCACTGATGAAGGAAGATCACTGGCTATCATATGGGATCCCAACTATCCTATGTTCAGCAACCTGATGAATCAGCAGCTGGCAATTTTTTTTCAGCAGTGCAGTTGCAATTGCACTTGCAGTAGCAATCTGCTTCATGTGCTGACAGCCTCCCAGAGCATGGATGTTCAAGTGGATCTTTCAATAGTGGACTTATCCCACCTGCCACAAGCACCTTTGGAACAAGGCTCATTAATTTCCAAGATAAACATTAACCTCAATCACACTTTGTTGCTTAACTTCAAGTGATGGACTTATTCCAACTACTTTTAAAATTGGTGTATCCATTCTAGGTATCACAGCACTCAAAAATGGCAAAAGAGCAATAGATAGGGAACTGAGTACACCAAATTGCACTCTTTTTTGGTTTAATTACATGATGTTCAGTCCATAAACTTTTTGATATTTCCATATAAAAAAAAAAGAATTTTGTTACATTTCCAACTCTCCCTTCTGGAACTGGGAGTCCACTGGCCCTCTGTGCACATCTTGTCTTTTCAGATAATTTCAAAAGGAATGGAGGCCAGGGATGCCTACAACATTGACATTTACAAAATGATACATAGTATCCACATCCAAAGTATATTCATTTAATTCTAACGGCACTTATTAAAGTGGCACACTATGAAGACATGTAATTAGAGTGAATCTGCTATTTTTAAAAATGCGAAGGAAAGTTGAGTCACATGTGTTTCATAGGCATTCACAGCAATTCCATAGCTGAAAATGAGACTGTATTCCCAAATGATGCATAGGTGGAGATGATGAGAGATGCACGTGATTCAGGTGTAGGGAATGTGATGATCTGTGGCAGGAATGGCAAGTAGATGTCAAACAAAATCTATTATTTGTTTCTATCTAATCTAGCATTCAGTACAGCTAATGCAGTGCTGCATCTGCTGTATAGCAAAAAATGTGTGCTGGACAAACTACAGCATCCAGATGCCATACAGAATATTAATTAATGCATTTCAGAATTGCAGTCCAGCAGCTGAACATGCTAGATTGGATTTTCCAGTACAGAGTGCAGTTGCAGCATGCTGTACAGCCCTAGTATAAACTCGGTCTTACCAGTTAGGAAATTAAACATGTTCAAAGGGTTATTTGGGCTTCACCAGTCTGGTGGACACTGCACAAGGTACCTTGACCAAGCAGGTCGACACCGTGGCTAGCATAGCCAGTGGCCAATAACTATTTTCTGCTCTTATTCTGCTTGAAGCCTTTTATACCTATGAGCTGTGCCATATCAAACCTCTGTGCCAAGTTAGACCTCTTCTGTGAAAATATGCTCTTGTGGACCATAAATCAATAAAGAGGTCATCCATTCTTATCCAAATGATTAAATTAATAAGTGATACCTGCATTTCACAGTTCAGTCACATCACACTCTCTTGCCTTGTGAACTATGTTGCCCAATCTCACCTCCTTATGGTCCACCCCCATCCAAGGATACGTCTTTTTTGCACACATTGTGCCTGAGGATCAGATAAGCTGCCCTTACATATACTGCATAGAATCTTGGAAAATGTGCAAGAGAGGCATGCCAAAATAGGTGCAAAAAGTAATAACCTCATGCCATTACTATCATGCCACCTTTCACTTCATTTTGCATCTGCAAAATAGGAGGAAATTCCAAAGTGTCCATGTTTGTAAATGCTACTAGTCTATGAGTAAGCTCAGTGTCCACATCACCGATTTGGTGCAAAGCAGTAATGGTTAAGTGTGTAGCCCCTAGAGAAACTGTACTCCCCAATCCAATGGAACATGCTAAATCCATTGGGATTCCTTTTGTTGGTAATAAACCCCAACCTGACCTGACCTAACTTTAGAAACAACACAATATCCTAGGGGGTACGCGCTTAACCATAACCAGTGTCCAACAGACCGATGAAGCCTGGTTATTTTTGGCCTATGTGACTCAGATATCTACCCTACGATATCATAATGGGGATAATGTAAGAAACATACCTCGAAAGTCAGGCGGGGGATCGTAGATCGCGGAAACCGGACATGACACGGAGAAATTCATGACCGACATGAGACGAAATCGTGTGCACGTAAGTCTCCTTTCTAGGCCAACAGAGCGTGATAGTCCTAACGTATGGCCTATCTTCCTCAAATTCATTGCTGTAGAGTCCTTTGATGTAACTCAAGATCCACAACTGTAGCAAAGGCCTAAAGACCTCCGTGGGCCTGGGTGCAGTTATTCCTATTGTGAGCAGCAATTCATCCCATCCAACCTCAGCATGTACACGCGAAAAAACAGGGCTGTCAAATACTTCGAATGTAGTGGAAGGAATGAAGTCTCCCCTCAGTGGCGTACTGTAGCGTGGTTGGCATGGACCCTGGTGCAAGGAATGAAATAGGGCCCCGTGTCCAATGTCTAATCATTGAGGAATGTAATTACCGGTATGATTAAGAAATGGGTACTCACCAAGTGGCCTCTTTCGCATTCTTCCCTGAGCGGAGACTATGATGATTTTGGAGACATTTAATTTCCTCGCCCATTCATTTTCTATGGATAAGAGCGAGATTGAGTCCTTCTTGCGCCATTGTAATTCTAAATAATTCTTATATTATTACTACTACTAAATTATTTTTTTTAAGGTGTCGTAATATCAAAGCCGGTTTCCCATTGCAGCCTGTTATCGAGACAAAAACCAAGAAATGTTGTATTGTGAAGCATTTGAGGATGATGATCCTAGTCTCCATCAAGACATTTTTTGATGATGAAAAACGAGAGTTGTGGTTTCTCTAAATTTAGTTCCGTTACATTTGAGTCAATCCATGCTTTAATTGCATGGTTACATTATTTGATAGGTGTTTGAATGATACGGTAAGGCGAATGATACATGGTGTCATGTTTTGAATTTGGATGATCATGAACTAACTGATTTACTGTCAAAATTATGAAATACTGTCACAGTTTTTAAATTCGCATATTACTCTCACGATAGGTCAAATAAAGATGACCCGGTGCCAGTTCTTGTTCAAGTCAACTGTAATTCCAAATGTTATTGAATTACATAATCGGGCAGGTGAGGGTCTGCTACTTCTTGGAGTTCCTTCCATGTTCCTTCGGACTCCTTCCGCATGATTGGGTATTTGAAGCTCGCCTTGGATCAGAACATCCAATACAGTAAGCACTTCCGCATCAAAATTAGCACGTTTCTCAAGTGGTCGTCGATCTGGAGGCGGCATATTGTATTTCTGTAATGAATTCCTCTGTTGCACATTTTATCGAACGTAAAGAAAACTATTCCTAGCGGATACAATGTTGCAGAACTGCAACATCTCTTGTCAACCCCTTACGACGATTGAGTCGCATGAAAACACAATGTTATCACTGGGATCACACATCCTGTCAATCGTATCCAAAATCTTGGATACCATCGGTAGGATTGTCACTGGACGGGTAGTTGTCGGGGAATCCATTCGTTCTTTTTTATGGTTTCTCACCGTTTTACCGCACGTCATAGAAAGTGGGAATGCATCTGTTTCTAGAGAAGCAGTGAAACTGCGAGTGGAAGGGTCAAGAATGAATGGTCTTCTAATACGTGGCATCCTAGCATCAGCATTATCCAAACCAGCGGGTGCTTTCATCTCCCGAGGGACATCATTTCGAGTAAACTTCATTTGGATGAGTAGGTGAAATGAAAAGGGGAATTGGATTAGGGATTAGAGGCGGGGAAGTTATCGAGATGGAAGACCCACGCCGGATCTATTCATTTTTCAGAAGATATGACAAAACTCGAGCGTTCACAAGGTCTTGTATGAAAACTTGTACCCCCTCCCCTCATATAGGCTTGCGGCGGGTCATGGATGACTCTCTCGGATCAGGTCCAACTCGTCCCAAGAAAGTCCACCTAGGGTGCCCTCAACGCTTCGGAGTCAGAACTCTCCACTGTTCAAGACGCACGTCTGGGAACTCCTTTGTTCCCCATCACACTTATACTGTACAGGGTGAACCAAAATTCCTTTGTAAAAAGTGGCCATTCCCTGTTTGGATTCTTAAAACGTTGACTGCCAAGGAGTTTGGAACCACTGTTCTTCCCTATGGCGAAAGTGACACACCGGGGTATCACGTGGGGGTCCAAGTGTTAACTTTTTTTTTTCTTTTCAGGTTCGTTGAATATTAAAGATTATGACTAAGAGTGGAAGTGGTTCTTATCGACTAAGCACAGAGAAGCGCGTGTGTATCACGAAATGGACTTACAAATATGACTGTTTCGGTGGTGTGCCTTAGGTACTCAGTGAAACGAACCACCTCCAAGACCGATAATAAAGACAATCAAACATAAGTTTGAAACCACAGGCTCTTTTCTTCATAGACCCGGAACCGGTGGATCTAGAACTGACCTAGAACACCAGAAGCTAACAAACATCTTGTATCAGAAGCCATGACAAAGTGTTCAAGAAAATCCTAACGTTGGCTTTCAGCAGAGACGAACATTTCCCGTTCTTCAGTTCAGCAGCTTAAACTTAAAGCCCTACTCATTTTTGTAAATCAATTGTATGATGCAAACGCATTTCCCTGCTTAATCGACAAGAACCACTACCACTTTCAGCCATAATCTTTAATCATCAACCTGAAATGAAAATCTTAAGAACCCAAAAAGTGAAAGGGCTCTTTTTACTAGGTAATTTAAAGCCACCCTGTATTTTATTGGCATCTTGGGCTTAATCCAGTAGAATAGCCAGTCTATTTTTTTCGGAGGACCAATGAAGTCCTGGGGGAGCCTAAAATATCAAAACCGTATGTGAGCTTTGGGGGAAGAGGTGGAAGGGGGATGTCAGGACAAGGCTGACGTGTGGGGGTGCCAATATTGAATAGAAGCTGATAGAGGAACCTAGCCCCCTCCCTCCATCCTTCTCTGGCTATGTCCCAGGTCACATATAGCAAGCCACAAGGAACCTAAGCTGAATTAAACTTACAGGGCAAGTTCAATTTCTTTTCCATGAAGTTTAAACAACCCCTGTTCTCTTCCACCATGAATATTTCATTCTCTGCATCATGTGAGGAAAGCTAGGGGAAGCATAAGGGTTGGATAATAATGCTAAGCCTGGTCCCACTTTCTCAATAAAGGCCAATGAGAAAAATGATGATGGATTGCAGATTTAATATGAAGGCATGGAGGATTAATCAGAGTCCAGCAAGCCACAGCAAGATGGAATGTATTCAGATTTCATTCAACAGCACAGATCACAATGACTTGATCTCCACCTTAGCACAAATTCAAGCATCAATGCACTTCCTTCTTACGAGACACTTGCATCTGCACAAGGTTCATACATTCTCGACATGGGCACATTCACATCTGCACTGAAAGATAATGAACTACAATCATAATTGATTTTTCTTTAGCAATGAAACAAATTTCCCACCTAAAGAATGCAATTCACAATGACAATTATTTAGTTAATGCTTGCTTCCCTAAATCCACTGATTTTTCAGGCTTCAAGGTCTAACACTTGGTTCACAAAACATGATACGAGTATGCTTCAGCCTTAACTGGAATTCTTTTATTAGAAGCATAGAATATGCCCACTGGCCACTTACTCTTAAAACATTCCATTGTGTTTCATGTTGACCAGACTCAACAACCCCATGCAGCATGAAATTAGAGTCAAGAGTGACACAGACAACAGTCATAAATTGTAAAGAGGAAGAGCTTGCAAAATAATGCTTGTCTTTACAAGCACATTCCTCAGAATGACAACAAATGGAAACAATCAAATCACAACAATATGCAATAAACTTCAGTGGCATGCCATTTGGATGGTGAGCAAAATTAATCAAATTAATCATCCCACCATATAAATTCCTGTTCTTATGAATGTTGTGAACCCAGCAGTACTTAAAAGAAAATTATAGCAGGATTAATAGTATGGAAGGCATGCCTTTTAAGCAGACTATCCAAGCTTGACCACATAAAACAGTTTTCATCTTGAAATTGAAGCAGAATTTTAAAAGATCAGACACTGGAAATTGATTTCATCATCATGCACAATAACAGATGAAGAGACATGAAGAGTATCACCTCCATCAGAAGACAGTAAACATCAAGATGGAATACAAAACACGGATGAGGTATAAGAAAGAACAACAAGTGAAGACTATCAACAAGTGTTGGAGGAAAGACATTGAGATAGGCATGACACCAGGACATCATTCCTTACAATCTAGATGGTATCAAAATCAATGTAATTCCTTCATGTTGACAATATAATAGCTAAGACTTCACAAATTCCTACAAATACAGTAGCTCACTGTCTCTCTTTCACTCCATGGTCCAACAAGGAATTGCCTATAACTGCTTGTTTCACAAGTGGAAGATGAAAAGATACACCCATACCATTGAGATCACCAGCACTGAATGACTTCTCATTTGAAGGATTCAGCTGTTAAGATCATGACCAATCACACAGTATATGACTAAGAAAGGGATGAACTGAATGATGGATAAAAAAAAAAGCATGAACATATATGAAGAATGTATCATGTTGCCTGCATTTTGAGTTAAACTGTATTTTTTGCAGTTTTGAAAAAAAGAAACTTGAATTAAACCAGAGTTGTCCAAGATGAGAAAAAAAATTGCATTCTTTGCTACCACAGGCAGGGAGCAATTTTGAAAAAGGAGAATCTCACAGCTGCATGACTCTCAAGATTTTAAAAGTATTTTCTATGTATATCAAGCACAAGATACAGATTAATCATAGGCATCACAATTGGCAAACATGAAGGTGATGTATGATGGAAATGAGAATCCAATTTCATTCTTTATGCTATGACCACAATTACTTAATCTATAGATATGAGGCATGAAAAGGGTGAAAAGATGTAAATCTCATGTCCCTGAAAGCCTTATTACATGTATAAACCGATTCATATTTGTAGACTTTTCTGCTTTGAGGCTTTCTCCTCTCTTGTTCATCTCTTTTTCTAGAATTTCCCCAAAAAATCCATGTTAAAGTGAAACAAACTTCTCAGATTAAAAGAAAAATGGTACTTTTGGGGATTCTAGGGCAATGATTGAATATTCATGTTATTTGATAAAAGAATCACCATTTTTACCAATACAAAGCACTTCCAATGCATCATGGAATCCAATCTACTTTATCAAGCAGTGAAATCAACTGATTCATTTTGGGCACCAAGACTGGATAGAGGGGAGAATGTGTTTCTCCTAAAAACTCTTTAGGGAAAATCTTTTATCTTCCACCTAATGCAATTACCTGCAAGAGTGGAATGCCATTCCACAAATCATTTTCCAAAAGAAGTATTCCTTAGGATGGCCTCCAGTTCCCAATCAGGCCAATGAAAAGGGACCACAGAATAAATATCAACCATAGATGAATAGGGTATTACATCTTCTATTACATAGAAAATGAAGTATACAATTAGCTTCAAATACTGCCTTTTGCTTCTCAGAGCAAGTTTTCCATTCTTTTCTGTATGACAACCCTGGCCCACAATCATTGCAAACATGGAATGTGTTTCCAGCAGATGATAACTGACACTTCATTCATGTGACTGGTGTTGTAATTAGAAAACTTTCAAAGTAAACAAAATAATTCGAGCAAAACCAGCCTTGTTTGATATAAAACTGAAAAGATTGCCACTTCTACCAGCTAAAACAAGGAACAATGAGGAGTCTTGGGTTCCAACTCCCAATTGACTCCTCATTGTCTAAATGACAAGTTTCACTTTGACACATCCCTCCTTGAAAACTTGAAACTTGAACTCATACATCAATACTGAAAAGTGACTCATGCACATAGCCATAGTGGTACAAAATAATATGACAACTTCCTTGGAAGATACTGCACATCATCAGAAGCAAAAGAAAAATTATTGACAAAAGTGCAAGTTTTGATGACTGAGATGAATCCCAAACTGCACTGTTTTATTTTGTAACCATTCAATAAACAGCAAATACACATAATCAAGCAATAGTAGTCTAAATCTTTTAGTCTGATAAAAGAGGATCTATATTGCTGCTCTGTGATGGGTTACAAGGTGATTGCAAGGATTGTAAAGCCTGACTCTTCCCAGACTCCCAGCTTTCATGTATAAGGAGCGGATATGGATGATGGAATACAGACTGACAATGGCCTATTGTCAGCCTTCCTTGTTGCTTCATGCTATAACTCCTCCAGTATGTGCTACATCTAAAGCCACACCTTCAGCATGTGCTAAAATTAACCTTCATCCCAGGGTTCCCTTTGGTTTTGAAAAAACAATTTAATGCAAAGAAAATTATGAAGAAAACACGGGAAAGGAATGGGGAAGATAGAATTGCAAAGATGAGAAACAAGTGGAAAGCATGCAGTACTTTGGTCACCTGATGACTAGCAGGGATTCCCACCTCCCCCTCTGTCTTAGCACATTGCAGTCAAACTATTGTTCTCATTCATAGCAGCTGAGTTATGCTAAGTAGCTCAAAAGAGAGAAACAAAATAGAATTTCACCAGTATGGTTGAACTCACTTTCCTCACTCACCAGACAAAGAGCAAAAAAGATAGATGAAGGATACTATGCAAGAGGTGAAAGTGAAGATATGCAATAAACAGGGCATGATACGCTCCCATGTATACACAAAAAGAAGAATCATTCAATAATAATGGAGCTAATGCTGGACCTGATGTTGCAGCTGCTCTTGATATTGCTTGAAGAGAACTGTCTCCTCAAAGATCAGTTCTTTCAAGTGGTCCTTTGAGAAGTCATCAAATTCCATCTCAAACTTGAAGGGCTCCTCTGCAACAGGCTGAGGGAAAGAAATAAATTTAAAATGGTATTATGAAAAATATTACTGCTTGTCTTTTCTTGAAGTCTGGTCCAAAGGAATTAACTCACAGGGGTGGAATGATGGATTGAAAATGTTTTAAATGTAAAGGGTGATTATAGTCTGATGGTAGGTATATAGCATTTTAGAACAAACTATGCATTGAAGCTAAGTGAAAGTTAGGAAATAATATCCTTAGTGTCCAGGGCATTTTCAATCTGGTACAGAAATTTATTTCCCTTAGTTTAATTCTGAGTTTGTGCCATGATGTAAGGAAAAATAAATTTCTTTGGAAAGCTATCTTTATCCCCTCATATAGGGTGTGTTTTTTTTTTCATGTGAAAACTCTTTTCATATTTTTTTAAATTACGAATAGTGTATTATAATATAAACATTTCAGTTCAAAACCTAGAAACTTATAAAAACCCCATAGGAACCAGATTATTTCAAATGAACAAGCTTCTAGCAGTGGTGTAGCGAGAGGGGCAGAAGCCCCTCCAAACCTGGTTAACAAGCATCTGCCACCACCAACAGACTGAATAGAAGTCACTAGCTCTGTTCACCTCAGTCCCCCCTTTGGCAAAACTTTGGCTCCTAGAGCAGCCTATTATTAAATAAACTGATTTCATCCATTCCACTCAATCCTCAAAGCCAAATTGAATCAAAATCAGATACAAATCCATTTTTTTGCCATTCAGAGATCTACTTGCAAATTGACAGCCAGTAGATATGGAGTAAGCCTCAGCCACATGAGTGAAGACATTCTGAGACTAATGCTCCAGTCAATATGTGACTCCAGCACTTAATCCATGAGCTGCTAGGAAAGAATAACATGAACAAGTATGACCTACTGGACCATGCTGCACAAACAGACTCCCATGCTCTGCCCACACAAAAAAAAATGGTGAAATGAAATGTATCCAATATACTATTTTCTTCCAGAGAATTTTAGAGATGGAGGCAAATGGTAGAAAAATAATTTTAAAAACCTGTAGCTCAGCTGACAGTAATGACCATTAGTAAACAGCATTTGTCAGCCATAGTATGAAAATACAGCATTGGAATATGCACTGAAGCAAATCATTGGAAGCATGCTACAACAACTCAGAACACCTTCCCTCCAGTACAGAGTCCCTTCTTTAAGTTTTTCCAGCATGTTTCCTAAAATTACATTCATTTTCTGGCAGCATGACACACCAAAGGTTTACAAACTGAATATAAAAATAATTTTATAGCATGAAAATAAAAATAAAAAACTGAAAATGAGAATAATTAGTAGTAGAGAATACCTGACTAGTGCTTCCATATAAAAGGAGGTACCCAGTTCTAAAAAAATGCAGAGATGTGACTCTGGGCTGAATAATGAATGCCTGAACCTACCTCATCAGCTGGATCATAGTACTGCTCCAGATATGGATGAGCCAGAGCATCTTCAACAACAATGCGTTTATGTGGATTGAAGGTCAACATCTTATCCAGAAGGTCTAGTGCCTTTGGATCTGCATTTGGGAAGAGACGATTCCAAGGGATTTTCTGCTTGAATGCCAAGGATTCCAAATAGTTCCTTGCCTGAAAATATTCATGGCCATGTTATTGCAAGAAAAATAACTTAGACATTTTTGTATGAGACAACCAAGCAAGTCCTGGCTGAGAGATGGCTCAAAACAATTGAATATTGAACATTTTCACAACCAACTTGGCCAAAGAGAGCGTATCTCCTCTACCCAACTTCTACCCTCCTACATGTCCTGCATGAGTGTACATGTCATGTCCTTGTGTACTTGCTGGGAAGACCACGAAACTGAAGCTTTACTGAAACTATTCAAGGAGCACAATGTCCAATTGACATTAGATGGGGCAGCAAGAAATAGCAAGGCTTATAACCTCCTATCAGCATAATTGAACAAACTAGGAAGAGCAAAAAGGGTCTTCCACTCCCTCAGGGTGTATTCCCAGGTCTTAAAAATGCTGTGGGGCCAGAAGGGTCAAACATCTAACAAGAGCATATGGAAAATGACATTTCCCAGGAAAACCAAGGCCCAGGAATTTCATCTATACAAAACAAGGCTAATGTTTCTGGGGTTAGGAGAGAGGGGGTTATGCTGATCCATACATTACCTAGGACCAGCACAGAATGGGGATAGGTGAGACTGAACCTGGTAGGCTCAGTGGCCTCTTCATCCACTTGACGCCAGCAAATGACGACACTCCAGCTTTTCATTTTGGATCTCCCAATCCATGCCAAGTAAGAATGTGAATGAAAGATGGATGCCACATTGCTGTCAATGTTAAAATTCCTCAAGGCCTGTGGGCCCCCCAGGCATATGAAATAACATACAATAATGAAGTTTACAACTAATCTTAGTCCTGCATGAACAAGACTATGAGGATATTATAATGTGTGGCTATAGTGGCCCTTCAAGTCATGGACTTCAAGAGTGAATCCTTCCCTTTCCTTCAATATAACTTTATGTTTTATACCATGGTGTGGCTAAGAATTCCAGGATCTTGCATTTAGAAAGCCATTGCATCTTGTTTTGGATTGCAACAGCAGCAGAAATGGTAAAATCTGAAAGAAATGGATTGAGTATACCTTGTCATTAATGATGCAATTGAGATCTTCTTGAGAAGGAGAGCCAAGAACACCAAGGATATGATTAAGTTGATCCAGATAATGCTTCCCAGGGAAGAGTGGTCGGTTGCTCAGCATTTCAGCAAGAATGCATCCCACTGACCAGACATCGATTGATTTTGTATATCCCTGAAGCCAAAGGTCAAACTGTTATGCAACTTTCTGACACCAAAAGTCCTATTGGAGAAAATAAGAATGGGCTGTACCTTGGAATTAAGCATGATTTCTGGAGCTCGATACCATCGTGTGGCAACATACTCGGTGAGGAAACCAGTATGGTCATGTTCTGGATCTGCAACTCGAGCTAGCCCAAAATCACAGATCTAGAAAAGAAATTCATGGCTCTGATATGATATCCACTTCATATGATAGACCTAGGGATATATAAAAACCTTACTTTGAGATCACAGGTTGTATTCAGGAGGAGGTTTGAGGGCTTCAAATCTCTGTGCAAGACATTGGCAGAGTGAATGTACTTGAGACCGCGGAGAATCTGATACACAAAGTAACAGATGTGGTCATTTGTCAGCTTCTGGGTTTTCAACAGTTTGTACAAGTCCGTTTCCATCAGGCATTGGACAATGTACACATCCTTCATCAGGTCCATGGTTGGTGCTCTCAAAATGTCCCGAATGTCTATAATCTGAATCAAGATCAAGAAAAAGCATCAGTTGATGCCCACACCAAAAAAAAAACAACAGAAGTTCAATTCAAGAAAAAGTTGACTCCGACATTATCTAAAAAAATCAATGGTCCTCCATTGCATCCTGTAGTTTTTTTTTAAGACTACAGAATGCAATGGAATAAGAAAGAAGTGCAGGAGAGTGATGTCATAGTTTCAATTAAATGCTGCTAGAGCTTTCTTGTGGAAGTCTCCATGACCATGCAAAGTGATACTATATTTTCCCTCATCATGACAATTCTTTGCATCTTGACCAACTGGCAGTATGGGGTAGTGATATCTGCTTGACTTAGGCATGTTTACAAGGCCCATCCCAAAGGTTCAAGAAAAAATGGGAATACTTAGCCTGGATGTGGTCTAGCAGCAAAATTCTTCCCAGAAAACATCCAATCCTCCCAGTGCCCTGGGAGGGCTTCCTCCCACTCACATCATCTACTGGTGACCATTATAGACCAGGAAAGGTTCCTACCACAAATACTGACATTTTTTTGTTTGAGGGGAAGAACTGGAATTTCTCAAAATAAAAGCCTCCATAAGAAGGAAAAGAAAATGTGTTGGAAAATGTTCAACTTTTTTCAAAGTCAACTTAATTACATTAACTCAGTAAAAAAAAAGACCTATCCCATAGACATGCACAAAGATTGGTCATCTTTTAAGAAAAGATATCAGGAATCGGCATATCCACCAAATTTTTGTATCAGTAGGGCCCTAATGGAAACCCATAAGGGTGAGAAATTCATATCAAGACTATTTAACATTTGAGATTTCTTCACATACTGGGATGTTTTCCAGGGCAATGTTCAGTGAATTTCCTTTCTCAGAATGCTCAGTTGTTTTGATCAAAACTGTCCACTTACAGCCATTAGCTTTGATGAAGAAAAGCACAGAAAAAAAATTTGCCCATGGAAGGAAGCAGGGAGAAAAACTCTGATTGAAGAATGCTCTTTGACACTTGGGATTTCATTGTAAGAAATGCCATATGGAAAGCCAACAAAATAAACGTGCCCATTTTCTTTTTAACTCCCTTGAGTGGGTATGACATACATATCTACCATGTTAAAATGCTTCCCAGGTGGACTTGGCTTTCATCTGGCATGTTATATCACAAGTTAGAGTTAAATATGAACTCAAAACTCAAAATAGGAGTATGAACTCAAAAAAGAGAAATAAATTTATTGAACAAATACCAATTATTACTCCCAATAAAAAAAAATTCCTGACTGATGGTAAACTTGTATCTGAGAAATTCCCTGCTTTAGGAGTTAAAGATCAACTGAAAGAATATTGGGGCAAGGTCAAAGATACCAGCTGATCTAAAAGTTGGGTGTGCTGAAGCACTCCTGGTCTGACGCAATTACTATAATCATTTGATTGCTTCATGTTATTATTTGGAAGAAAAAGAAAAGAGGCCAATCAACTAAGGTCAGTCAAATGAAAACAGCAAATAATTTATATTAGTCATGCACATGACTTTTTTTTCAAATACTTTCTAAAGGCATTGAGGTTCTTGTCCCATAGCTCAACCTGATTTTTTTTTTGTCACTGCCATCAAACAACATTGTCATCTGGTGGCACCACATTCTCACTGCTTCTACTAAGTCATCGTCCAAGTGGTATCACCATCAAAATGATGAGACCAGGTTTTATCACATGCTACGATTCAGATAAAAAAAGCTGTTTATTTTGGCATGGTAGTGCTGCAGATGTGCAAGGCAAAGACCCATTCATAGCATTCTGGTCTTTGGTCATGCACTTCAGTATTCATTTGGCACACGCCAAATGGAACTGAAGGTGATCTTGGACTACAGTGAGGACAGACCCATAGCAAATCTCCACCTCTGCAGCTACAGTATCCAGGAACACACATCTGATTGCTCTAACCTCCTCGGGCACCTTCATGACATTGTCATCCATGATGACAACATTGGGTTATCTGGGTCTGGGTTTGCCCTCAGCATAGAAGCATCTGTCATGAAATTTTTTGCACTATTCATATACTTATCTCTAGGCACACATCTCCATAAATGGTAGCCATTCTGAAGGATATCAAGTGGTTTTGCACATTCAACACACAAAAACTGTATCACAGACATCTGATGTTCCCTGGATGCTTCTTCAATGGAGGTAGCCATCTTTACCAGATTACAGTACATGTAATCATCTACAAGCAGTGGTGAAAATAACATTTTCAATGCCACTCCAGTGTGCCTAAGAGTTATACACTATGTCATTCATACAATTTTTGGTGCAAGCTATAGCTATGCTCAACCACAGAGACAGACTGCTAGTAAATAAAGACTTTCCAAGCTGGCTTCTCAGAGAAATCATCAGTTACCTAGTGGAAATACATTGCATGTGCTGTGGATGAAAAGGCAGTCACATAACCTTTCTCATAAAAGAGGGGTGTAAAACAGTCATTTCCTCTGTTTCAATATACCCTCTCTACTAATAACCTCTGTCCATCACATCCAAACACATCACTGTAATGTACATTGACAATTTATTGATCACAGCATCAATTACATCAGAGTAAGATTTTAGCTGCTAGGCAGCTCAAGTCCAACATTTCAAGGACTACTGGTTAGTCTCAGAGGACCTGCATCTAAATCCTGAGAAATGCCAGGTTATTAAAACCAATAAAGAACTTTCAAGTTCTTAAGTTCTTTAAGTTTTAAGTTTTTAATTAAACTCTTCTTGAGCACAAGAACTGTCACATGCCAGTTGCTCCACAAGTTTTCATATATTCACCCAAGAAATGAAGGGGAAAATTGTTCAAGTATCCTCATTGACTATATAGATTTTTCCCCAATACAGAACTGTGACACATCATCACCATCATGCCGGGTAAACTTTTGTCCTTATCATGCCAGACTGACGAGGCTAGTGTTACTAGTGAAAGAAGTTTAGTTTGTAACTAAATCTAACATAGGTTCAACCTGAACAAATCAAGAGCTTTAAGCATGTGTGAAGTAACCAGACTGCCCTCTAGTGAAAGACTAGATACTCCCAGACAAGAAAAGGATGAAGCCCAAGGGCTGGAAGGAAATGAACTTACATTTTCATGCTTGAATCGTGTGAGGATTTTGATTTCCCTCAATGTTCTCTGGCAGTAAGTCTGGTGTTCAAATGGGGAAATTTTCTTAATGGCTACCTTTGTTTTTGTCACATTATCATATGCAGATCTGAAAAAAGGGAAACAGAAAAGTCACAATGTCATATGCAAATTGCAAAGTGAGCAATTAAAGTTAAACAAGTTAAGCAGAAAAATCATCAACCAATATCAATTTATTTTGTCAGCTGTACTGAAGCTATATGAACCTATGATGATCACAATGATTCAAAAAAATTAATTTGCATAAGCTGGAACTGAAAATTCATTACACCTTCTGGACATTTATTCATTTGGTCAAATATGTAGCCAACAGTATGAAAATGCAGGTGAACAAAGGTCTAGTTGACCTATAGCCAACCAATGACACATGGTTTTTGTGAATTTAGCAAAAATCACAAGTTTAATAGAGAGCTTTAGAATTTTTTTGTATAGAAATGAACAAAACTCCAATTGCTCTTCACATTATTGTGTATAGAGTATGATCAAATCAGTATATTACATTTTAAAATCTGATGATATTCTAGGGGTGTAGAAAATATTCAGATAATGTGAACATGTGGCATTGCATATTTACGCCTCTATTTATACCTCACAAGATCTGAACTAGATGAGTAAGATGATGCCATGAGGCCCATTGCAGATGTGAGAAACATGGAGCTCCTGACCATAAATCACATTCTCTAAATGAACAAGGTCATAATGAATTTCCCTATTTCCTTGAACTAAACAACAGGTGGCATGAATAAATCTTGAGTGCAATGAAATTAAGAAGTTGTAAAAGAAAGCAAAATTTATAGTTTATCATACTGCCAAGAGATAAGTTTTCTGGATAACATGGGTTATCCTTTCTCATGTGAAAACTGTACACACTGCTTGAACACTCTCCCACATACAGACCTTGTCTCGTGTACATTACTCCCTTGTATTCCCCATGCATCAGGTAGACCTACTAATCTCCAATGTTTGATGGGACACTTCAACTGGACAAGACATTGTTCTGACATCTCAGGATGAGCATGGGAGATATGTCAGGAAAACTAGACTCAAGATCTCTTGACCTTGAGAAGCAGCTCAAACTGGAGATGCTCATGGACAGCAACCAACTGAACCTCAGGGACCATCATACAGAGGGAGAATCTCCACTTCAAGCTGCTTCTCTGGAGCAGTATGTCCCAAGTCTGGTTTTCCTGATGTGGCTCCCACAAGCACCCTGAAATTAACTCATTGATGTCCAGGATGACCAGCAGAAATACAATTGACACATGATGATGCGGTGCTGCTCTCCAGGCTTTGGCAGGAGTCCTAGGCCTGTCTGAACTGCAACTACGTTACCGTGGTGTACACAGTAGAGACAATGTCCATGTGAAAGAGTTCCTATTCCTGTTGACCTGCCTACAAATAAGGACATTGAGGCTCCTGCCAGGGAATCTCATGAAATCAGGTTTTTGGGTGTGTTCCAATTTGTAGAAGAAACTAAGAACCTGCAGTTCCAACAATTTTGGGTGCACCATGACTGATGTGTAGCTCAACAAGCTTGTAACGAGGACATCTGTATCCCAAAGTGTTCACTGAATAGGGGGGTGTACAAAAGACAAAGTCAGCGTTGCCTAGGTGGTCACATAACAAAGGATCCCCATTACATGTTGCAATACTCCAATACGTGGCTCAATAATGAGAATTCACTTACACTGAGGAATCCCTACATAAACTCATGCTCACGGAAACTCATGAAATCTTGTACGACGGTAAGGGAAAAGAAATTTTAGGGGTGAAACGAGGAGCCCAATAAATATCACAGATGGCCAGCTTTTTACAGCTGACAATGGCCCATATTGCCTGGAGAATGCCCCTGGAGTTCAAACTCAAACATAATTTTTCACATCCCTATGTAACCTTCTCAAAGAGAGTCATAGTCATGATACCATCTCTGAGAATAACGATGCATATGCCTCCCCGGTCTACACATCTAATTAAACCTAAATATTATAAATATTGAACACTTAACGTTAGCAAATGTAGTTCAACAGCAATATGAGGATGAACTCACACGACCATGCCATAAGCCCCCTCTCCAATGTAGGCTAAGTTGGTATATCGTGGAGCGACTTCGAATGATTGTCCTTTCACCACCTCCACCACGCGATCCCCACTCGAGTCCGCCGCCATCTTCCTTCTTGTGTTAGGTTCCTCCCTCAGTGTTGCTATATTACATCTCGATGGTTCGCGCGTCCACATCGCGAGATGGACCCCTGTGATTTGGAAGACAGTAGTATCCTAGGTCTTACCATGATACAGGGGCTTCCGTCGAGTGTGACCAAAACGAACTAAAACTTGCATGATGCGTATACGGCTCAGGAGTTCTATTGTGGATCGGTCGTCATCCAGGATTATAAGGGCTGCAGTTGTCACTGTCCTCCCAGGGTGACTTCTGATAAGTTGGCTACCGGGGCCGAGTAATTCGATGTTTCTGGGTGCGTCGGACCGTTCTTCATCCAGACCTATCGGTTGGCTTGGCACTGGTCATAGCGTTTTTTTTTTCGGCACGGTGCCCAAAGAGCAGACCAGGAACAGAAAAACGCGGTAAACAACCTATGCAACGAACTTTTTAAATATTGGGACTTGGAATGTGTTCTTACTCGGCGGTAAGGAGCCGGAACTCGTGGAAGAGGCGAATAAACGGTGGCTAAGTACAGTATAAGATGACCAGATTCTTATGCCGTGAAAGACATATTCGGGACGCCGAATAAGTACTTCCCCTTGTCCCCCAGTTCCTCCCCCACCCCCCTTTACAAAGTACATTTATGTATTTTTGCGCTGACAATTGCATTCATTATTGTGGAGACATGAATTAGAACTGGTATTCAATTATACTTACAGCATTTTACTTACCAATGGTTCAGACAAAGCAAAAGCTAAGTATTTTTCCGATTAGTTTATTTTCCGCTAGAGGTCACATTGCTTGAGGAGCAACTTGTGGAACTTGTCGCATGACATGTTGATGTTGTACTTGACTATCAACATTTCCTTGAGTATATCTTCTTCAAGTTGTGTCTTCGCGCTGCTCCACGTTTTTCATGATTGAGAACATGCTTTCAAAAGGGGCGTTGCTCTCAGGAAGGCACTGCAGAAATTCCGCTTCTGTAGACTCTTGTGAGGCACATCATTGCGAGGTGCTTGAAAATCTCAACCCAAGTAATGTCGATCCTAGTACGATTAGTTTGCCACTCTTTCACTTCGTTTCGCTAATGCTAACAAACTGCTTGACATAGTTGACTTGGCCGAATAAGTCTTGAGTCTTCCAGTCCGACCTTCAGCTTGAAACCCTTCTCCTCCAAGGAATCGACGCACGCCCATTGAGGAGTCGACTTCAGAGCCACCCAGTTGCAGTTGCTGAACTCTTCAAAGGGAACCGACCACTGCTTCAGGTACGAAATGCAGTAACGTAAAACGACATCGCTTTACGTCGGAGGAGTTCCACGCATTCCTCATCTTCCAACTTCGATAGTAAGAAAGGGGCCTTTACTTGGAACGTAAAGGAAGGTCTAATAGTCGGGCTGTTTCTGATTGCCAGCAGTTGCTGATCGTTTCGGCTGACTTGTGGGTAGGTCATTCATGTAGGGAGAGCGCGAAATTATCCTTTCCCACTTCTCCTCTATTCAACATTCCACCTTCTCCCTTGTTATTTCTCCTATATCTCCTTCCGCACTTCCGCTCTACAATATATGCTCTTTCTCGATATTTTTCGTTTCTTTTCTTTCGTATTTCCCATCACAACAAACAGAGAGTAACTTTCCAAATATCATATAGATGAATCTCTGCATGTTTGTTGCTGTCTTTATTCATTCCTTGATCAGACTCGTCTTCATCTGTGCCAACTCTACTTGATAGCAGTTTTGAAATTAAGTATTCTGGGCATCTTTTTGAGAATAGGAAGAATAATTCTGATCTAGACTGCTGAAAAATTTTCCAATCGTGAAATTACTCAAAAGCCAAAGAGGAAGGAAGGGACAAGCTTGTTTTTTCCCTCTATAGCAGGGGTTCTTAACTTGGAGTCCATGGGTAATACTTGAGGATCTGGGGTGTCCGTAGGTGCAAAAAGGTTAAGAACTCCTGCTCCATAGCATTCCCCAAGGTCAGGAAGGAAATCAGACGGCGAACGCGCAAGAAGTCGAGAAGATCGACTCTTTCACCAGGAAACTGAAAAATGTATTTTTTACTGCTCGAGATGTAGTTTCTGTGCCCTTCCGCTCTTCTACGAAGAGATTGTTAAGAAATTATACAGCATTTCCATAGGGCTGTATGAATTTCTTTTGTCTCTGTCTAGAAAGTGTACAGAATTTATATTGCATTTCAAGAACTTCTGTAGTCAGCGTATAAAAAATATATTGAAATCCCATCAAATTTCTTTGAAAATAAGTAGATGCAAATAGGGTTCCCAAAGGAAAAGATTAAGAATAAAAGTAGCCTTTTTCTTCGACTTCAGCTCGTAAAAGGGTCATGTATTATTTTATAGAAAGCGAAAAGCCTTTTAGAAGGCTCATATTCGATTAATTTATGATAAACTTGTGAAAGCATTGGCATATGGTGATGGAGGTATATGGCACAGGTCGTAGTTGTGAACTGCTGGAAATCCTCATGGGTATCATGCATTGGAGAGTCGTTCCATCCCGAGTGGTGCAATATTAAGAAGCTGCGTCAACTGGGTAAAATAAAAATGAACTTTAGAATACGAGAAACCAAATGAACGAACCGAACGTTTTTGGACGACCAAAACGTCTCTATCTGGCCTCCCATCTGGGAGGCCAGAGCCTCGAGCCCTCTCCTGGCTCATAGGCGATGGATGAGGGACATCGCCAAATGCACACAAACAGAAGTATACGTGCGATAGCAGGGAGGCCGGCGTCACCGGTTGCATATCGCACGAACGAGTGACTGCTAACAAGTACAGGGTCTTGACTAGGTTTAGGTAGGGGTAAACAGGAGAGTAGTGGACCACCCGTTAGTAGTGGACTACTCCTAAGTTTTTCTTCCTATAAGATGCAGAAAAAGCTTCAGTTGCAATCTTACCTTATGTTAACATTAAGAAGTAATGTTCAGGAAGCCAGCAACATCTAGGATTCTTTGTAGTTACTAAATTGTCTTGTACAGTTTTTGCAGAAGTTTTGCCTTAGAAAAACTTAGAGACAATATAGTAACCACAAAGAATCCTAGATGTTGCTGGCTTCCTGTTAGCCCTTGAGGGTAACATTACTTCTTAATGCTTCTATGTCTTTAGGTTCCTTTGCCGAAATTAGAAAGCTGCTTGGTCATCCTAATCTGCATTACCAATATGTATCTATGTAGTTTCCACGAATGAAAAAGACAAAATATATAGTCTTCGTGATCATAATAGATGAGCTAGATGCGTTTTTTTTTTAGAAGTCCCGAAACTCTGTATGCCGTGGGACCGACAATTTTCTCGGACCGGATGCACCTCTACTCTTCAAGTGTTCCAAGGATCTTCAATTTCCGCTCTCCTTTTACATGTTTTCGATTCAATATAAAATGCCAACACGGAACGTTCACTCTTTTATTGCAACTACCTGCCACTTGAAGCAGTGCAGGCAAGACCAACCTAAACACAGCTTTCGTGCTTCATGCTCCCGTTGTTACAACAATGATTTCTTGTTCATTGTGATGGCGTGCTGGCCACCCCAGATTTTTGTCATTCGCCGCCACTGTTTACCCACGAGATGCTATCCTTCCCGATTGCACGGTTTCTAGCCCCTATATCTTACTATATCAATCTGTATGGAGTCCTATCCAGATGCAATTCAATAATGAGAGCAATATTGAATTCTATGAAACTACATTGAAAACGTTGTAGAGAGACCTATAGAAGTCTCTCTACAACCATTTTGTCTGGGTGACAGGCTCTCTTGGGAAACAAATTGTCCTTGATTAATTTTCACGATTGTTTCTCATTTTCAAATGGAAGGGTGCCAATTTAGTTGTAAAAATATCCCTTATCTTCTTGGATATATCTTGGATTTCCTAGAAGGAAACGCGCTCATTCGGGACTCTCAA